ATCGTCACAGGTCCTTTATAAGTTTTACTTAAACATTCATACATAAAACTAACTATTAAACTATTCTTACAATTTTCATCTGGGTTATTGTGTTATTTATTATTTTACTCTAAGTTTATGTAATATGCAAGTATTATCGATCTAACTCATATTTACGAATTTGTAGATTTTTTTTAAATACAATTTTTATTAACCAAGCAGAAATAATGTTTGTGCAGAGAATTTCAATCTAAAATCTTAACATATGTAAACTTGATGAAGAAATTGGGCTTTATTTTTAAGTAGCCTGCTAGTATCGAAGGGGTTTCTAACTCAAACATTAAGTACACTGTACTATATCGATCACCACAGGGTCGAATAGGGTAAGTATCCCAAATAATACGTTCCAAGTGCATTACTTACGAAGAAAAAGCACTTTCTAATTTTCTTTATTTATATTTTTACTTATATACTCACTTTCGATTATGCATATTTGACTCTTTAATTAAATTATTAATTATGCCATTCTCTATAAACCTTATTACGACATTTTTTATGCACCGCTTACTAATTCATACACTCATTTAACTAATTTATGCGTTACTTATCTATATTCCCATATGCCCCTATATCAATAAATATAATTTTCACAATTTTTTTTTTACTATTAGCAAAAGCCGAGGTCAGCCTTTGTTGGCCTCTATTTATTTAATGTTTTCCAATTCTATTTCCTATGCAACTACATTGTATATTGCATTATTCTGCCACACTAGGTAGTATATAAAAATTAGCGGTGATTAGTTCACATGTAGTAAGATCGCATGAATTTTCTAGTATTATTGTTCTTGAACCTTATCCAGATGAAATAAATAAATTTTTAGAAATTAAATGCTACTATATTGAATTAATTTTTTATACAAAACCGCAGGTTAAAGTTATATAAATTGGCTAGTAAAATCTTGAAATTAGTGTTCTGTAAGTGCTAGCACACGTATTATTAAAACATAGTGCCCATGCCTGTGCCTAGCACTATGTTTTAATAGGTACATGCTGACACTTTAGAACCTACTTGAAATCCGTGAATTAACCAAAGTCAAGAAAATTAATTAATATCTTTTCATTATTATGCAATTTTTAAATTATGGATTTATTTTTTATACATTATCACTATAAAAGTATGTATATGAGATCCTCTAAAATAGTAGACCCCATGAATTAGTCCTGGCTGCGAATTATAAATTTTTTTTGTTTGAAATAACCAGACTGCCTATAATAAGTATAGAATGTGCATACACTTTAAATTTTTTTATTCCACAGTATAATTTCTGAGTATGTGCTGGACCGGGTCTCTAAAGGGTTTAAAAATCAGTGGAATTAAATAAACCCGGGTTTGGTATGCTATGCACTTTTATGATATATAAATGCAACAATCCCACATTAGCAACCATTTAATTAACAGAACATATTTAATCATTGCATAACCAATCATAATTATAATTGCAACGATTCATTAATTACCTGAGATTTCTTACAACAAAAGTGAAATGATATTCAGTCTACTAGCCAAATTTTGCAAATCTTAATAATGTCGCTTGGTCTTTCAGGTTTAGAACTTAAATTATATATTATTCATTATTCATAATATTGATTTTTATTAAAATAAGAATTTTTTAATATCAGGGTTGTGGACAAAGAATATCTTTATATGGGTCATCAATGTGTTGACGGATTCTTGTATATAAATATTTTTTATGATCATCTGATAATTGTACCATAGAAATAGTATCTAATTTACCATTTTTATTAAAAGTGTTATCATGTAATAATTGAAAAGAAATTTCCTCTCCACCCGATTTTTTTGAAGCATAAACCTTTCCAATTTCTGAACTATTGAATCGAAAATGATAATATTGTTTTATATGCGGCAAAGATGTAAAACTATTTTTAAAAAAAGAACTAAAATCATACCAAACCTATCCTTTACCATTTTCATATTGAATTGTATCATTTCTTTTTGATGAATTGTTTACAATATTTTTAACATCATCAATGATATTAATACGATTATCTCTATAAACTTTTTTAATTTGTCCAAAAAATGAGTCAAAATAAATTTTGTGTGACTGGGAAGCATAAAATTAACAATAATTTCCTCATACCAATTTAATGAACATAACCATGACCAAAACCAAAGTGATAAATTATTTTTATTTTGCCCACCACAATTATCACAAGTAACCCTTAATTTTTTTGCTTTTTTAGGATTTATTTTTTGAAAAAAACTATAAACTATATTTAGCATAGTATTAGCACCCTTTGAAACCTCCTCAGGAAGTTCGTTTTCACCAATTAAAAAATTGATAATTTTGCTCACCAGTTTTGCAAACGCCAAAAATATGTACAGAAAAGGGAGATTTAAAATAAAGTGAACCTACTTGTTGTGGTGAATACGGTATAGAGATACATTGCGCCCGATCATAACAAATATGTGTAATATCCAAATTATTTTTACTTTCTTCAATATTATTATTATAATGCTGTCTTTCAAGATTCGCAGCTTTTTTATGTTCATCATATTCAACTTGAACTTTATTATATTCGTCAATATCTCGCTTTGTAACTAATAATTTAGATTTATAAGAAGTGCAAACTTCACAAAGATCGCTTGCATGTGGCTTAAATCAGAGATTAGGAATCATTTCATATCATAATTTTCTAAAAGTAAAATAAGAAATTATTTTTTCTGATTGGTCGTAAGTAAGATAAAAATTTTTTTTAAATTCATTATAGACTGAAACATATATTTGACCAGTTGGAAGATAAATAAAAATACCAGAATCATCTTGATATCGTAATGGAGAAGGAAATCGATTAATTGTTCCATATTGTATTAAAAATTGCTTAATTGGAAATGTTATATTAAAATCTAAAAAAACTCTCAATTCTGTTTTAGACGCACGTCTAGTATTTCCATAAACATGTTAGTTAATCTATTTAATTGTAAATAACTTTGTAAAGTATAAAGTAAGTAACTATTAATTCCACATAATTTTAAATATGCTAGCTTACAAAGTGGTAAAGAATTGTTATAATTAAATTTATATGTGTATTTTTTGAAAGTTTTATTATCTGATTTTTCATCAGTAATTTCAAATGACAATAATTGCAATTTTATAAAAAGTTCAAGTTCGTGTTCTTCTAAAGCTTTTAACTCAAAATGTCTTTCAAAAAAGCATTTAAATCCTACTTTTTCAAAGCAAGTTCTAAGATCTCTTTGCTTTGGAGTTCGACGGCAAGTACAATTAGTAAAAGTCTCAAAAAATAATTTTAGATCATGAATAGTATCAAGAACCAGTTCAATTTCTTCATAATCGTCTAATTCTAATTCAACCAAATTGTAAACAGGCTTTAAAGTATTAACAGTTAATTGTTCTGACATTTTTTTAAAATAATAATAATAATAATAATAATAAATAAATACCATACAATGTTTTAAGCGAAAATATTAAATAGAAGCCAACTAAAAATAATTTGGGTAGCAAATACTTAAATATATACAGATTATAAACTCTACAGTAAGTAATATAAATATATCATGCAAGATAGAGTGCTAAAAGCTTAAATCAGGGCTAAAATGAGGTATATTAAGTGCTAGCTATTCAATAAATATCATTTTCAACTTTTAAATTCCATATCAATTGTTAAAACAATTAAATACTAATCCACAATTTTTGGTATACTAAGAAAGATTTAAGCAATAGACAACTACTGTATACTTCTGGATTAAATTAATGAAGATGCATGTATACATAATAACAATATTGCTACATTATTATTATTGGGAGTGTGGGTTATATATGGATGCAAATTTATTTCTAAGTCTTAACAAGATGCCAGTATCTTTTCTTATATTTATAACCTTTTATATAACTAGAGTCATCTGCAAATTTGATGTATATTATCTACATATTAATGTAAAATTCTAGTAATTACTATAAAGTAACAGAATTTTTATTAGAAATTAGGTTATTATAGATTTTTAAAGAGATTACAGCTATTCAAAAGAGGATGAGAACTATCTCTAAAACAACATGCATGTTATTTCAATGCATTATTTCATACCTACTGTAACTATATTACAGTATTATATTTGCCTATATACACGTATATACGTACTAACTTAGAAATACAATAGATCTATTTAGGATGTTCTCAAAAGCCATTTTCAATAAAGAACAAGATAACTTGAGTGCTAGAAAAATGTGCCATTTAAAGTTGCAAAATTTTCTCATGAAGTTACTTTAATTTGCTAAAATTTCAAATTCATATTTCATAGAAAGAAATTGTTATGTACATAATACAGAAATTGTTTCAACACTTGAGAACACCTTCAAAGTTTACTTCTAAGTTAATATATGCATTAATACTGTTTGTTGTAAAAGGTAAGATCAACTTTCACAAAGATACTGCGATAACCTGATATTCAGATGATTTTTGGAATAAGTAGAATAGTTAGAATTTATAGTATCTTGCTAAGATTAAATATATAGAGCAGAATAGTTTCCCCTTTCAATAAAAATAAATAAATAACTCTTGGTATCTAAACTTCAAGCTTAATAGAAGTAGTCCAAACAATGCTTTCCTACTTAATTATATAAAATCGTCATATTATCTTGTATTTGTGAAACATTATTGTAACCTATAAAATAAAAAAGAAAATCATTTTTTATCGTAAAGTCAACTAATTATCCCCTGATTTTATTAGCTCTATCGCTATTATTATTGGATAACAATTAATTTGTGTAATGATGCCTTGTAACTTCATTTTCAAGGCAAATTTATGGTAGTACAAAATTAAAATAATTGAGTGCCAGTAAAATATTTATTTGCTATGTCAATTATTTCCATTCTATTTTTAGATCTTTAAAAAAATTTTCCGCCAAATTTGGGCCAGAGATCCAGACTTCAATAACTTATTTTAATATTATATTAACAGGTTATAAAATTTATACAAAATGATCCTTGTGTTCTGTAAATTAATATTAAGCAAAAATCTTATTTTTGGTTTGGGGGACCCCAGAACCCTATTTTCAAGGCAAAGACCCCAAATGATATCGATAATCAAATTTTGTTAATAATTAAACGTAGATTATATTATTCATGTAAAATAAATTTATACTATTCTCACTTAATCACAACTATACTATCAGGTATACTTTACTTTTAAAGTTAAAGTTTGTGCACAATTATTCAGTTGCGCGTGAATATAGCTTTATTTTTTTTTAATCAAGACGAGTAAAATTTTAAAGTATAACCATTGTGTTAAATTCTATTCATATATAAATATATTTTTTGAAGTATATTTATACTCTTTAATTTAACCAAAATGCTAGTTTTCGATTTTTGGGTGGTCTCCAAGTTGGCTGTTTCATTCTGGTGTTTAGAGCTTCATTTCAGGCTAAAGTTTCTTCGATTAAATTTTTTTTAAGCTTTTTTTATTTGTTATAAAAGTTGTTGTTATCGATATTTTGTTCAATGATTAACACTAAGAATTCAAAAGTTTTTTTATCTGGAGCTAATTCAGCTTTTCACTCTTTAATAATATTATATTGGGAGTATATAATTGACCTATTTTTATCAGATATTTTAGGTATATTAGTTGATTTGCTTAAAAGGTTTTGTGAAGAATTATTTCAAGGATTATTAACTGAATTAATTCTTGGAATTTTATCTTTCTCAAAGTAGATTAAAGGATAATCATGCCACCAAATTGTGTTTAGAAATTGTAAAAAAAAATTTGAATTATTTGTAATATAGGTTTGTATTAAGTGTTTACATATAAAATATGGATTATTTATGAAAACCGGACAAGAACAAATCCATTTATCAGTTTTTACATGATAATTTTCTAGAAATTTAATATCCTTTTCAAGACCTATTTTCCAACTACTCTTTAAAGCTTTCCTACCAAGATGGAACCTCACGTTTATTATTATTATATCTTTTCCAGGTATTTATCATATCTGAGATTAATTGTTTTGTTATAATATAGTTTAAATAGTCAAGACAGGGCCTGTTATAGTTATATTTGTAGTCATGTTTTAAGGGCCCACTAATGGGATTCATTTATTATTGTAGTTCTTGCTATAGAAATGGCTTTTGGATAAAACGATCAGGCAAGAAATTTCCAATTTTTTTTTCATACCAGTTTACCTATAAATAGACCCAAAGGTTATTAAAATTTTTATGCTAGCAATATTAATAAACTTCTAAGACGCTTTGATAATATATTTCATCAGAGGTGAGTAAAATATTTATGTTAACTGGTATTAAAGGATGAAGTAACAAATATCTTTTTATCATATTTTTAATGTCTTTTGCATTTTCTGCAGAGCATATCAGACTTTGCTATCCTGTAGGAAGCCAATTGGAATCAATAAAGGTAAATTGATTATTGGCCTCTTTTGCTTTTTGAACAGAATAATTAGACATTTTATGATTTTTTTCTTTTATTTTTCAATCAATGACACATTCAACATGCCAAAGATATAGCTAAATTTTTACTTTTTGGAACCAGGCTTCCTCTACAGCTGTGATTTGTCCCATATCTTTATCAAGAAGAATAAAAGAAGGTAAGATACCTTCTTCTCTAACAAGCCAAAAAAATTTAGTAAGCGCTTGGGTTCTATTATTAATATTATTTATAGAGTCTTGTAGATGATCTTCTGATGTGATGAATATATCAAGATATAGATAAGAAAGTGGCATTTCAAATCCTCTACAATTTATTATTAAGGCAAATAATTCAAATTTTTCTTTGTTAGTTTTAAAAGTAGAATCCAGAATTAGTTTACTAATATTTTCTTTTAAAATTATATTTATAAATGGTGTAATGAATCCAAGCCCTCTAACAAAGTCATTTTTAATATGAAGAATTAATTTAAAACTCTCTACAGATTCAATAAATACATAAAAGATATATATCAGGATCTTTTTATTATCCCAATATCTATTCTTTATTTATCCACTTTTAATCTGATTTGCTACAGTTATTTGGCGGATCTATGGTAACATAAAGAATGAATAATAGTACAACATAAAAAAAAAATATAAGATGAATAAAAGATATCTATTAATATCCCGATATCGATCTTTTATATGATAATTATATATCTGTTTTGCTGCATATACTAGAAACATAAAAAATAAATATTGGTACATTCAAAATAAATGTCAGCTAAATAAAGGGTACCTTTTTTATATCCTGATATTTATTCTATATGTGTCCACTTTTAACCTGGTTTGCTACAGTTATTTGGCGGATCTATGGTAACATAAAGGATGAATACTAGTACAACATAAAAGGTAAATACAAAATAAATAAAGGGTATCTATTAATATCCTGATATCGATCCTTTGTATAGTGATTATATATCTAGTTACTACATGTGTTTGACAGATCTATAGAAGTATAAAAGATGAATATTAGGAAAATGGAAAATGAATATCAGCTAAATGATGGGTATCCTTTTTATGTCTTAATATCTATTCTTTATATATCTACTTTTAATCTGGTTTGCTATAGTTATTTGGCAGATCTATAGTAACATAAAGGATGAATACCTGTACAATATAAAAGATAAATACAAAATAAATAAAGAGTATCTATTAATATCCCGATATCGATCCTTTGTATGGTGATTATATATCTAGTTGCTACACATGTTTGACAGATCTATAGAAGCATAAAAGATAAATATCAAAAGAATGGAAAATGAACATCAGCTAAATAATGGGCATCTTTTATTATTCCAATATTGATATATTATTTAAAATTATATATCCATTTTGTTGCCGATATTGGTGACCATAGCTACATTAAAGGTAAATAATAGTATGTGCAAAGATAAATATCAGCTAGCTAAAAGGCTTCTATTAAGATCCTGATATCTATCTATTTTTATTCTGTTTTGCTACATATATAGCAAAATAAAAGGTGAATAACGATATATATAAAAGTAAGTATCAGTTAACTAAAGGGATTATTTTAACATCCCTGTTTTTACTAGATAATATTAAAAACAAATTTTTATTCATTCCTGATATATAATTAAAAATTATATTTTGAATTTTATTATTTGTATAATTATTTTTATTATAAATATTATATACATGTAACTAGTAATTAAATAAATATATATATAATATATAGATTAAATAAATTTAAAAAAAAATTATTTTCTGGTACTAGGTCTAGAATTTCTAGAAGCTTTTAGGCTTGAACCTTTGCTATAACATGGTTTAGATCTAGAAGTATTGGCAGAATAATTATCAAAAACTTCGTTTAATTCTAAATTATAAAATAATTATTAATATATAACAAATTAATTAGAAATATAGCAAGTCATATAAAAACTATCAAATACATTACCAGATTCATGATTACTATCAGCATTATCATTATTGCTTTTAGTAGTCCCTTCAAAAATTATAAGAATAAAATATTAGTAAAAATCTTAAATAATTTGTATTAGAAACATTAAAAATCATACCAGATATGATATTAAGATTGATACCGGGAGAACTTTTACCATGAATTGTTTTGGAAGCATCAATATTAATAACAGGGGTAGCAGAGCGATTATTTGCATCAGAACGATTAGTATCAGGAGCAGCAGAATGATTATTTTTGGGGCATCAGAACGATTAGCATTGGGAGCAGCATAGTAGTTAGTATCAGGAGCAAAATAATGATTAGCATCGAGAGCAGCATATTGATTAGTATTGGGGGCAGCATTAGTGTCAGCACCAGATCCAGACCTAGACTCAAAATATGTATTGGAAGCAGAACTAGACAAAGCAGAACCAGTCGGGGCAGAACCAGATACAAAATATGTATCGGAAGCAATAGCACCAAACTCTAAATAATTATCAGAGTCACTACCAGCACCGAGAGAATTTATAATAGGACCAAGTGAAATAGCAAGAATGTAGTTGTGTGAAATACACTAGCTGGAAGCCCCAGCTGATGGTGTTGAGTTATCATCGATATTAGTTTCCCAGCAATTCCATTTCAGCTTATTATAATTTTATGCTAGCAAAGTATCTTCACATAGCAACAAAATTTGCTTTAACTAAAAAGTATATAAAGCATATTAGTACTGGTATCAATATAGATATAAATTATCTATTGTAATAATTATTTTTTTTTAACCCCCATCTTTTTTTTATGATCTTCACCACATGATAATTGCAGTCGTCATCAAGAGGATGTTGAATCTTTTTTCTTCTTTCATAATCAGCAAGTTCATTATCTATTTCTGATATCTCAATGCTGTAGTACCCACTTTTGGTCACAATTTTTTTTATGTCGTTCAGAGCTTGATGCTCTAAAATATTATGTGGTAGGAGGTTTTTTAGTTGTTCACTTTTACTTTGGTGAAGGTGGGTAAACCACTTTTTCCTTCGATTGATTTTCTGAAAATATATTTAAAATTTTACAGATAGTGATATAGTTAGTACATTAATACAATGAAAACAAAAAATTCTTACTGCTGTTATTCTTTGTTGTTCTCTATTTTTTTTACGTTCCTGCTTTTCTTTTTTCAGATTCTGCTGCACCAAGTATTTTTCTCGTTGGTGCTAGTGGTGCTCCTTTATAATTTTTAATATTTGGGCATCACTAGCGTGATACCTTTGAACATCTCTTTTGATAATTTTAAATGAGTTTTGAAAAAACTTTTGTTTAAAATCTATCCACAATTTCTTGGGGTCTGGTTTCATCAGCTCATCGAGCCCTTCAATGGATATTATAATGTCATTCTATTATAATAAATTAAAATAAATTAATAAAAATATATGG